AAGAAGAAGAAGAAGGTTAATCCATTTCTCCATGATCCATTTACTGTATATTACATAATCAGCATGGGCAACCTGTGTAGCTCCTAGCCTCCAAGAATTGTCATGTTTCTTCATTAGTTCCACCTTGCATATATATGTAAGCTTCAAGCTTCGTCCTTTTTGTGAAACATATATATTAGTAAATCTATGTATCCACCAAAAATATATGAGTGAAAGATCATATTAGTCCATATGATTATATTAGTCCAAATTGCAGGCTTCAACATAGATCACTAATAGAATTATTTGAATATGATTTACAATAGACCGAGATCTAAACATTTACTTTCATAAGATTCATTACTTGTCTGAAAATATGGGTTGGAAGAAAGCCTTTAAGCTTTTGAAGACAATAATTAAGCCTTCCCAAAGTTGATGTTTTCTTAATTCAACCTCCAAATGATATTTGTCTCAAGTTATGATTTAAAGTGTAGTGCGATTTTGTGAACATACACAAAATGTGTGTCCACAGGACATCGGTTTTCTATTGGTCCACGTCATTACTAAATTTACATAAGTTTTTGTTATTACAAAATAAAAATTAGTGAATATAAACAATTAGTGACGTGGACCAATAGAAAACCGCTGTCTCGTGGACACACATTTTGTGTATGTCCACAAAATCGCACTATATAAAGTGATATGATATGCTTGGTATTGTTGGAATTACGTGTTTGTAGGTGCGTTTCACCCGAAAAAAGCTAAAAAGAAGTAAAATGCGGCAGAAAAACAGTTTCAAGTAGCCAACTTGACGCAATTAAACAAAAGGGTTAAGGAGCTCGGAATTTGAAACACAAATAGGCATTGGAAATCTCTCACTTCCAAGTTCAAGACTGTCAAAATAGATTGCAGAAAACAGTTTTGAAACTAGGTCAAAACGGCTCGTCAAAACCTCTCAGACCCAGTTTCTACTGGTTATTTTGGGCTTCTTGGGCCTCTTGGAAGTCGTGTTTCTAGAAGGATTTTGGACCTAAGAATTTGACCGAGTCTTCCACGTGGTTTGACTATGATCTCCACCAAATTCCAGCTCCAGATGCTTCCTACAAGTTATTTTACAAATTGCAAACTCTTTTCTAGCAATATTCAAGGAGTTCTATGGTTAGAAGGACTCGTCCCTATATAAGGAGGGGAGAGCCACGAAATTCATTATGCTTTAATCTTAAATTGAAGTATCATATTAGGTTTTACTTTATTTAATGTTGAAGAAGAAGTTCCATTGATTATAATACAAGTCTATTTACTTTTCAAGTTCAAGTTCTTTACTTTTCATGCAATTTAATATTCCATCTTTAAATTCTTGTCTTTTAATTATGTCTTTTACTTCTACAACAATTATCATCATCACCACAATCATCATAAGCCAATCGATTCATAGCGTTTTACTAGTGGATTAGGTAAGTAGAAGAATTTACTAAAACTGTTATATGTTTTCCATGCTAGAAAGGTAATTATTTTATGATTGATCACGTAGAATAGTTTTTGCTCTTTGTTCTTCATAATATATAAATGAGAGATCATTTTGCATGTATAGAGACTTTCGAGCCTCATACGCCCGTTAACATATTTTGGCATCGAGAGAGAGAAAATAGTTAACAAATAGTATAAAGAGTTGTAATTCACTACTTGCATAACGGCATCGAGATGAGAGGTACTAAGTCTTGAATACTTCTTGAGGTCGAGATCCTGGGTCGAGAGCAAGGGAACTCACTGCCAATTATTGCTTTGTCTATGAGGAATAGTTGGATGCATGGGAACCAAGCATGAGTAGTTGATTTAGATATTTACCTATGAAACGAAGTAATACCTTGCTTTTCTTTCCATATTCACAACCTTTATTTTATATTGCTTGCTTTACTTTATTTGCATTTTAGTCATAATTACTCTCAATCAATTAATCTCCTACAATTCATCAATTGTTCATCAATCTCTTCATAAACGACATCATCCTTCATCGTTGTTTCCTGTTTTTAGTTAAGTACCCAATTCTTGGGTGAGTGAATTCGATATGCCGATACTTGCCTCTACACAAGTTTTAGGATTAGTTTAGTTGTTAGAATCATTAAAGGAAAATTATTTGTAGTAGTGCCGGTAGAATTAACCTGTTTCTGCAGCTTGGTTTACTAGCACTACTGATTTGACAGTAATAACAAAAAATCGTCAACATCAAATTGGCGTCGTTGCCGCTCTAAGAAGATCCAAGGTACTTGATGTTCGACGGGAGTTGACTCAGTAGTACTTCCCGTCAAGCTTTAACGGTGCTAGCAAACCAATCTGCAAAAACATGTTAAATCTACTAGCACTACTAAAACTATCAAATAAATATTTCCCTTTGTGATTCTAACAACTAAACTAATCATAAAACTAGTGTAGAGGCAAGTATCTGGGTATCGAATCCACTCTTTCCAAGAATTGGGTACTTAGCTAAAAACAAGAAACAACGATGAAGGATGATGTCGTTTATGAAGAGATTGATTGATTGTAGAGATTTGATTGATTGAGAGTAAATATGATTGAAGTAAAGAAAGTGCAAATAAAGTAAAGCAAGCAAGATAAAATAAAGATTGTGAATATGGAGAGAAAAGCGGGGTATTACTTTGTTTCATAGGTAAGTGTCCAAATTAACTACTCATGTTGGTTTCCCATGCATCCAACTATAAACTCATAGACAAGCAATAATTGGTGATGAGTTCCCTTGCTCTCGACCCAGGAACTCGATCTCAAGAAGTATTCAAGACCTAGTACCTCTTATCTCGATGTCGTCATGCAAGTAGTGAATTACTTCTCTTTATACTATTTGTTAACTACCTTATCTCTCTCGATGCCAATATATGTTAACGGGCGTATGAGGCTCGAAAGTCTCTACACATGCAAAAAGATATCTAATTTATTTATTATGAAGAACAAAGAGTAAAAACTATTCTATGTGATCAATAATAAAATAATTACCTTTCTAGCATGGCAAACATGGAACACTTGTAGTAAATTCTTCTACTTACCTAATCCACTAGTAAAACCCCATGAATCGATTAGCTCATGGTGATTGTGGTGATGATGATGATAGTTGTTAAAGTAAAGGACATAATTCAAAGACAAGAATGTAAATACGGAAGATTAAATTGCATGAAAAGTAAAGATACGATAGAAAAATAAAGAACTTGAACTTGAAAAGTAAATAAACTTGTATTAAAATAAATGGAACTTCTTCTTCAACATAAAATAATGTAAAACCCTAATGATACTTCAATTTAAGATTAAA